AAGGGGGGGGGGGGGGGGGGGAGGGGGGTTGAGTTTGGGCGGGTGGAGGTGTGCGTGCCGATTGATCTTCACGCGAACATGAGGAAGGAGTATGTACCTTTGACGTATTGTAGTCGCGGTCAAAGCGTCTCCAACGAACGTTTTCATACTTGCAAGCGCTTCGCTCTTCCTACAAGATGTTTTGCTTTCAAGTACTTCGGCTTTCTCACAAGGTGGTTTGCTTTCAAACTCTTGGCTCTCTCACAAGGTGATTTGCTTTCAAGCGCTTGGCTCTCTTAGATTATTTGCTCTCAAGCGCTTTGGCTTTCTCTCACAGGATGTTTTGCTCTCAAGCGCTTCGGTTCTGTCACAAGCCGTCTTGTTTTGCTTGCTACTCTTCTCGAAGGTACCTCGAGCTTTGTTCGTATGCTGCCAGCTCTGGCGTTATCGGAGTTCAAGCCCTACCCCCCCCCCCCGTGCGCGCGCTTCCCCCAAGAAACCCGACACGAATCCCCCTCAGACTGTACTATCGCGGCAACCACCGAGGGCCTTTAATACTCTACTGTCTGCTGTATTCCGGCGTGTGGCAAGTACCCAGCGAAATAGGATGGTCGTTGAGCCTTCCCCCTCCCCGCCCCACAACCTCCGTTTCGCCCTTTACTGCAATGTACGTGGTGTACATGTAGGCGGTCATGGAGGAGTACGACGCGAAGATCGAGAACACCGGGGGCGCCGTGTTCCTGGCGGTTTGTAGGGGCAAGGTAAGGAGGATTTCGTGAACACACAAACAGACTGGTAAATAGGTTACCTCTTTGAGGAAACGGTGTTGAGGAGATGGGTGCACTTGGTGATTTATCGAGTCTTGAGTTGTTGGTCGTATAGGCTGGAGTCTCCACCCTCTTGGTCCCCCCCCCCCCTTCTCCCGACATGTCCGCACTGCTTGATTCGGTACTGGTACCGCTTGCTTGATCGATCGGTCGACCTATCATTCATGAACCGTGTGTGTTCTTTTTGCGCAAGGTGAGCGAGGGCATGGACTTCTCGGACGGCAGAGCGCGCTGCGTCGTGGTGACCGGCATCCCCTACGCGCCGGCAATGGACCCCAAGGTATTCGGTAGTTGTCTTGACGAAGGAGGGCGGGCCTGTCTTTCGGCGGAGCAGAGGGCGGGAGCAAGCTAACAAAGCGCCCGTCGTGTTTTGAAGAACAACGTTCTCCGATTCTTTTGGTCCGGTCTCAGCGCTCTCCTCCGCGTGGTAATACCATCGTGTTACATCGCTTGAGACCCCATGATGCAATCGCCGCGGATACGTGAGGTTTTTTTTGCCGTTAAACAGGAGGGGAATTCATGCTAGTTAGAGCAGCTGCAGCAGGCAGACGAGCAGCGGCAGCGGAAGGAGATGTGTTGTACATGTCGGTAGATACACACACCATACAGTAGGCGAAATATCGCAAACAAACCATGAACAACACAAACGCGTTCCAGGAGGGTGGTCGCCGGTTCTGATTGATCTTGTCGGCGCCCCAACCTTTGCTTGATTGGATGTGCTTCTTTTTGATTTTTGGTCCTGGTTTTCACCTTTTTTCTGGGAATCTTCGGCCCTTCTCTGCGAATCTTGCATCTATGTAATCTAATTCGCAGGTGGTGCTGAAGAAGAAGTACATGTCGGAGTCCTTGCTGCCTCCAGGTGTTGCGAGGGTGACAGGGAACGAGTGGTACCAGCAGCAGGTGGGAAGGAGGTGGCCGTTGCCGAGCGTCGATCGCACTGCAACAGACTCAACTCGGGCGTGCAGCATACGTTTTCTCGCCCATACCACCAAAACTAGCACTCCACACGGTCGAGAGAGGAAACCAATCCCGCCCCCCCCAGCCACAACCATGTACGTGCAGTCGTGGACCAGGTCTAGCGACATGACCTGTATTGCGACCACAGAAGCAAGTGGCACCTCTGCTGCACCCCGACTCTACAGTACACCTACCGGCAATATCGACCTGCCCGCCCTGAACAGCGACCGTATGCCCTCCTGACACTACAGTAGTAGGGGTCGCTAATCCAGCCCCACCAATGCTGTACCCTACTACTTTATCTAGCCCATGCCCACATATATATATATATATATCCCGCCCGCATGCCCCTTTTCTCAACACCATACACGCACGTACGCAGGCCTCTCGAGCCGTGAACCAGGCCATCGGTCGAGTCATCCGGCACCGGCTCGACTACGGCTGCGTGGTGCTCTGCGACTCGAGGTTCGCCGAGGACCGCAACCGCAAGAGCCTCTCCCTGTGGGCCCGGCCGTTCGTGAGGGAGTGCAGCGGCTTCGGCAAGGTGGCCGCCGACCTGACCAAGTTCTTCAAGGCCTGCGCGGCGAACCCGAGCCTGAAGCACGTCGACACGCCCAGGGCTAGCAAGCCTACGCCGGCGGCCCCCAACCACGGTCGTCCGCTGCCACCATCGTTGTCGTCTTCTTCTATGTACGCCCGGGCGAGGCCGGCGGCGGCGTTGGGACCGGGGGGGCTACCGCCTTCACCTTCGTTGCAAGATGTCGGGGACATTGTGGAGTCTGTGGTTGGGGATCCGGGGGGGGGTACGCGGAAGAGAGTTGTTCGCGAGGGGAGGGGTGGCGGCGGCGGCGGCACGCCTGCTGCGCCTCTGGGCTTGCTCGACGCGCTCAAGGCGTCCGCGAGGGCCACCGACGGGGGCGCCGTAGTATCGGACCAAAGCAGTACGAGGGGGGGTAGTAGCACTACGATGGCTGCGTTTTCATCATCGGAACGTAGCGCAGGCGGGAGTGGTTCTGCGGCTGGGAATGGCGGCGGTGGTGTCGGCAGAGCCGATGAAGCCCGAGGAGGTGGAGGTGGGTGGGACTCTGTTCCGTTGTCTCAGCGGCTGGCCACGGCTTCGGTGGGGGGAAAGGCCTCCGGCGGTGCGGCTGGGGCATCGACCCCAGGTACCGTAGGAGCGAAGCCCACCAAGCAGCAGCAGCAGCAGCAGCAGCAGCAGAACAAGCAGGGTGGTCGGCTTTGTGGGCTCGGCGGGCAACGCACCGTGGGGGGGGGAGGCTCTGGCGGTGCTGCTGCTGCTGACAACGGCGCGGTGCGTGCTGAAGGCTCTTCTTCTGCTTCGTCCAAACGACGGCCGAGACCGGGCGTGGGTGTCGAAGATCGCCGACCTGTACCAAGAAGCGCAGGTAGTGGGGGGGCAGACAACAGCGGCGGCGGCAGCGGTGATGGCGACGGCGGTGGCGGCGGCGGTGGCGGTGGCGGTGGCGGTGGCGGCGGCGGTGGGAGGGCAGGGGTGGGGAGCTCCCGAAGGCGCGAGCTGGCGGCTGTGCTGGTGGATTTGAAGAAGAACGTTGCGCCGGGAGCGTTCGAGTTGTTTCGCTCTCGCGCAAGGGCACTCAAGGCAGGTTTAACGAAACGCAGGTTGCCCTCTCGCCTATTTTCTATCTATTTGTTCACGGCAAGTAGGGACAGCGCAAGGGTTGTTGCTCTCTTACGACGAAGGGTTGCCGCGTGTAGTCATCGATCGTCTAGAAGGGAAGGCAAGGGGAGATGTCCAAGCCCTAAGGGTGTGATGTTGAGCGCCCAGGCACGGGGATGGGGCACCCGATCAGTTTCCTCCCCAATATCATGTGGTACGTAGCACCCGTCGCACTTTAACGAACCGTTCAGACACGGTTTTTTGCCGGGTTTCGGGTCGGCATGTGGTATTTGTATGGAGCTTCCGGCAGGATCAAGCATCGTAGAAGGGCGGTGTGCGCGTGGCTCTGTGTTGAAACAGGAGCTGCGTTTCAATCCAGTTGGAGAGGTCATTCGTCGGCATCGGTGCAGACCTACATAACGCTGACACGACAAGCTTGCGCCTCCACTACTCGATGCTGAAGCAATCCCCATTCCTGCTTCTTCCTCTCCGTCTGCCGTGTTTCTTAACATCTATCTTTCGTACAGTACCCATAAAGTATTTATTCTGGTCTGTTGCTTGCTTCATCCGTTATGAAAACCTCTGCCGCGCGTCCTCTGCCTGCCCTTGACCCTGTTGCGGCCCCCGCTTCTGCTGTCTCTCTCCGCTATACATGACCCCCCCCCGGCGCGCGCTATGCACCGTTTCCCCCGTCCTCGAGCGCAGGAAGAAGGCGCGCTTGATGCCCCGGACACTGCGCTGGATGCCCTGAAGGGGGTGCTCGAGGTTCTATTGCTCGCCCCGCCCGAGCTGAAGTTGCCCCAGCGATTCGCTCCGAGCATTCCCGATGAATACGCGTGAGTCCACCGATGGTTGCAGTATTCGCCAGTACAGCGACTGTAGGTCGAGCTGAGCGAATGTTTTTTGCTACAGAAGAATTCGCCTGGAACCCACAGCCCCCACGCACCTGTACGTCGAGCTGAGCGAGTCTTGTTGCTTGCAGGAGAGCAAGCTTCCCTATAACCCCCCTCCCCCCGACTCACGCCTCTCCTCTCCAGCAACGCGCGAAG